ATGGTTTTGACTCTGGTCTAGAAAGTGGGATTTACTTGGAACGAAAAATTTCCTGTCTAGATCATTATTTAAGAAAAAGTGAAGTGTCTATTAAGAATTTTTATTGAATTGTAGGTTTTTCTTCCATCGAATTTAGGATGAACTACGAGAGCAGATAGTATCTAGAACTTCCCACCTCCCTAACTCTTTTGGCTAGCCTTATTCTTTTGAGAGAAGAGATTGGTTAATGTTCAAGCTTTCATTGTCTCCGTTCATCCAATCTTTATACTTGAAAGAGAAGAAATTGGTTAACCAGCGGCCAGCAACTTCTAAACACCAACCACACCCTAGAAAAATAGAAGTTTCAAACACTCCCCATAAGCAAACACAACGCTGAAAACCAATCCGAAAGCACATTGCTGGCAACTTTTATCAATTCCAAGATAACTCAATATTCTTAGGACTCTGGCTTTGACACCATGTTAAATCCCTAATCAAACCAAAAACTTAAGCTGGTGGATCATGGTAGATTTAACTATATCAACACTATAACACTTTCCCTCACTTATGGGCTTGACAATTTGCGGAAGGCTCCAACAAGTGGAAATCAATATTGATTTGGGAAGGAAGTGATTTTTCAGGGGTTCAAACAAAAGACTTCTTTCTCTTATACTATGTTTAATTAAGAAAGAGAAGTTTGTTGATGAAATATTAAGTCACGTAATGCTTTCCTTATTTGAGTGTAAGTTTTTTCTATATTTTTTTGTTTATAAATTTGTTTGTTAAATAATTTGTATGTTGAATTAAACGCATTTTTTATTTTTCTCTGGCTGTATCTCTAACATTTGTACTTCATTTAATTACAGTGTTTTCTTCCTTGTGTCCAATGTATTCAGTTTTTCTTATTTTGCAGCCTAATGATCATGATCATGGTACAGACAAAGATGCGGAATTCACGCTTGCTATGTCAAAGGATCATATTCAGGTTAGTCACCTCTGTGTGAGTTGAAGTGGCCCACTCTTAGAATCAGTCTTCATATGTTCTGTTAGTAGCCCATGTGTTGTAGGAAATTTTTTATAATTGCAATTATTATAATTTTTTTAATATAGTGAATGTCCAAGCCTATTTGCGCGCATGTTGACTATTCTCACGGGACAACCATTTGGTTGCCAAGAGAACTCATAGGATATGAGATTCTAGGTAGGTGACCATAATAACTTGAACATGAGGCATGTACTATCTTGATTAATTGGAGATGAACTATGTTTATGTAGCCAATACCGGTTGAATTTACATATAGATAAAAGAATAGTAATTGACCTTTCTTACAATATATAAGGAAGTGAGAATCAACTATCAAGCACTAACTTACTTGAGTTGAAACATGAAAAACGTTGGTTGGAATTGAGATGGGTAGGGATAATAGGCTCATGAACCTTGCCATTAACAAATAGTTGGAAGAGGGAGGAGAAATTGTAAACTTGAAGGGATGAACGGGAGAGAGAGAAGAAGTGGACCTTTGAACGAGGTGGGAGAGTTTTTTTGTGAGGACAAGTAGACTCAACAAAAAAGAAGAATGGAGGGAGAAGGAAGAGAGGGTGGAGGACATGATTTGACATTGCAGACCCAGAAAATCTACTTATTTTAGGACATCCTAACTCAACAAAAGTTTGGTAAAACTCTCATTTTTTGTGCTGAGAGAACATAAAAGAACTCTGGCTTATTCTAGAAAGACTGCATTTTACAAGTCATTAATGTAAAGAAAGAATTGGAAAAATGCTAGGAACAATTTTAAAAGAGAAATCTGTTTCTGAATTGAGAATATTGATTATTTCAACATTTGCATTGTACAAAGCCATCAATCTATCATCAAGATAGTCAGATTTATGTTTAGCAATATAGCTACTCCAGTATATTATTACTTCCCTCGGGTTCCAATCCAATGTATTTTAACTACTTACAATAAATTTTAGGTTGCCATGGCTGCCAATTTGAGGGACTACGTTCTAACCAATTTTGAAGGAAAGGAGGTATTTTCCTTGAAGCAAGCAATTTCTCATTAGGAACATTTTAAGATGGATTTGGTATTTGTTTTCTAAGATGTTTGTGTGTGTGTATGCATGCAAAGATACGATTGATTTCACTGACTTTATCTAGTTCATTTGCCTGTGTTTTCCTCGTTTAGAAGGAAAAACTTTACGGTAAAAAGTTGTGAAAGGACATAGTTATTGATTTTCCACATCTATGATAATATACCGTTTGTCTACTATCCTTTTTCAATTAAAACAAGTTATTTTCCTTTTACACAAAAAATATAGTTTTTAAATAATATAGATGTATACTTCCTTGTGGGGGCTGGGGTCATTTCCATGAAAAGGTATGTATCATGAGTCTTTTCCAACAAGATTTGCATTTCATTTTTTCATGAAGAATTTTAGAAATATCATATCTTTTTCCAGGTGAAAGGATCAGAATTACGGACTTACGATGGATCTTCAGTGGCGTATGCTTCTTGCCCCACAGAAACTGTAAGATGCACCGTCATTTTGGGAACCGCCATTATCCTTTATCAAGGCTCACATTACCTCGGATATTAAAATAATAGTTAAGTTCTGATATGCACAGCCATGAATTTGACATTCTCGATTGATTCCCAGGTGAACTATGTTTCCGCTCATGATAATGAAACCCTGTTTGACGTTGTGAGTTTGAAGGTATTGTGAATGTACTTTTGTGAATCATACTGATTTCTTTAAGAGTTGACGTCTGATTATAGTCTTTTTCTTGTAGACTCCGAGAAACATTACTGTGAATGACAGGTGCAGGATGAATCATTTGGCAACCAGTATTATTGCACTATCGCAGGTATTTAATTTTAATTAATCATGAAAATTCAAGGCATTACATGTGCAAATCAGAAGAAACTTATTTCACACAAAACCATGTTCATGTGCCTCAATAAATTACCAACAATTCCGGAAGCTGAGGTTATTCAGATATGGGCTATAGCTGCAGGAATCCTATTATTCTGAACATTTAATATCCCTAGTCAATGTCCTGCCCTTACCGACATGAGTTTGCAGATGACACTAAACGTGGTCTTGTTCTGTATAGAACCAAAAGATTAAACTAGATAAGGAAATTGAAACGGGAAGGTACCTAGATCAGAACCAAGGAACTCATACACCAAGTCACTGGTGATTCGGGACGTGGATGCCAGATATGTTCTTGGAGTTCTTTATAACTGTGTGGACTGTGACATCTAGATCTGAACAATGAAAACCGTGCTTTTTATCGTTTGATAAATTTTATGTGCATTGGCATAATTATACACTATTGAGTAACTGACTGAATTAGTTAATCATGATTCGTAGTTTTGTAATTCTTGTCACTAATAACTCTCTTCCTCTTTAAGGGAATACCATTTTTCCACTGTGGTGATGAATTACTACGCTCAAAATCAATGGATCGTGATTCATATAACTCCGGTGATTGGTTCAACAGGTCCTGTTCTTTTTTTTTCTTTTCTTTTTGCATTCAATTATTTATAACATTCGTAAGTATTTAGATGTTGAGGGCACCGACTACAGTCTTTTAAAAAAAAAAATTGTTCTAGTTTTCTGCAAATTTTATGCAGTACATAATTTGGAACATATGGTATATTACACATTGGGTATCAAATCCCATTTTCTCTAACTTAATATGGTATACTGCCAGTTATGGTTTGTCTTTGTTTACCTTGAATTGATTTTTACTTTTCTCAAAATCAGACTCGACTTCACTTACATGACAAATAATTGGGGCGTTGGCCTTCCTCCAAAAGAGAAGAATGAATACAATTGGCCTCTGTAAGTTTTACGAAATTTGCTAGATTTTGAGTAGCGTTCCTTCTGCAAGTCTTCCTTCCCCTTCTGGAATCTGGAATAGATGGAACTTATTCCTAGTCTTAAAAAATTTGTGGGAGGTTTACTGGAAAGCTTTGTTAATAATGTCATCCATTTTCAGAATCAAACCAAGACTGGCCGATCCCTCCTTCAAACCTAGTAAAAGTCACATTCTTGCTGCTGTAGAAAATTTTACAAATCTGTTACAAATCAGATACTCTTCACCACTTTTTCGTTTGAAGACAGCTAATGCTATCCAGGTAAGAATGCATGTTTAAGAATAATTGTCAGATGAAATATAATGTAAATTTTTAATTCAGCTGGTTAATCTTGGGGACTTGAGATCCATATTCAATAAAACAGTCCTTTTCTTGTACAAGAGCAACATAATACAGGGCTCAAAGCATCATTACTTTGTTTCAGGCTGGTCCACAATTTACACTGCTTTATTTCAATCTCTACTTTTCGACATGCAAAATTGAAATGTTATGGTTGAACCAGTTAAACTGGACATAACGTAGCACCAGCTATTCAAACAGATATCAGTTAGCCTGCTTGTTTAAAGGCTTAGATGTATGACATCATTAGCTCGGTTTCCCTAGAATTGCTACACACACGTCTGGTTTGGATTGGAAAGGAATGTACTTTTCTGGTGCTTGTGATGTGAAGTGCCTTTGCCTTTTCTTGTGTAGAAACGGGTCCGTTTCCACAATACAGGCACGTCGCTTATACCTGGAGTCATAGTGATGAGCATTGAAGATGGGCAGGAAGGCATTCCTGGGTTAACTCAGCTGGATCCCATGTGAGTAGAATAGCTTTCTCTAAATCCATGATTTTACTCAATAATATTGTTATCTCATGTAATCTGCAGTTACTCCTACATTGTTGTTGTGGTTAATGCACGCCCATCTGAGATTTCATTTCCTTGTCCTGTATTGCGCGCAAGAACTCTCCAATTACATCCCATTCAGGTAAATAGATACTCTCCTGAGATCCAACACTGCTTCGCTCCAAAAGAGAACTTTTGCTAACTATAGCTCTTATCTTTATTATTTGTGCTATGTCAACGTTTTAAATATGGCAGTTGATGTCAACCGATCCAATGGTTAAAAATTCAGCTTACGAGCCATCCACAGGATGCTTCATGGTGCCCTCAAGAACCACATCAGTATTTGTGGAGCTACGGTAGCATGAGTAGCCTCATCCTCCGGAATGGTACTCCCTTGATTCTTATTCCATTTCAAAATGTGAGAATTACACCATTTTTGGTGTATTCCTCATATTCATCATAGCACTACATGTTAAATCAAAAAGTCTTAAGTTCATAGATACTTTTTTAATATATGTCACAAGAAACTCAATAAGTGTCCTGCCAATACTATAAAAAGACGATCACAATAAGAGTTGGAATACAAGTCCTCTTACTCTAATGTTATGTCACATCATAAAATTTATTAATTTGATTCTTTTCTCTCCATAGTCCTATGCAATTTGCTGTTTAGTATATCTATAATATGAGGTAGTGCTTTTGATTTCTCTTCTCCAATGAAAAATCCAAGTTGAGAAGGACTATCATTCGTTGGTCAATACTCCCAATACAAAATATCTTGGACTTAATCTAGCTTTCTCCATCAGGTGATGTTGTGACTGCCATTTCCTTTTGCCACCCTTCTACTCACACCCACCTCCCCAAGGGGGAAAATGGGCATGAATAATCAATCCTTCATACCCTTCTCTTTTATTATTACTCCAATAATGTCAATGATAGGGACTGAACATTCAATTTTATTTTTCAAATGGGCCCTACTTATATGTGGATGGACAGTGGAACTGAAAGTGGAGGCTTTTGTTGAAGGGCTTTATGATCTCTTTCTTTTATTTGGGTAATATACATACTCACTTTCTTAGTGCTTTTCTAAGGAGAAAATTCCTCTTCTGAGATAATATGTTGAGTCTTGGTATTGATAAGTGTATGACCATTATTCTTCCATCTTCCTTGGGGTTAAAGTTAAAGAAAAAGCCATAGAGAGGGAACGTGCACTCAATTTCTTTTCATGGCAGAGGAAGAAAAATCAAAGATGTTCTGTAAAACGAAATGTTTGGATGCCTTGAGTAAGAGAGGTTGGAGATTCATTACTACAGAGATTGAGAAAACAACCATCCTTACTTTACCAAATAGTTTAAGGACACCTTAACCTAGCTGTATTTTGGTAGGCACACTCTTAAGAGGTCAAAAAGTTCAGATCTTTTTACTCTTAAATGTTGTTGAACCAATAAAAGCTTGCATTAAAAGGTCTATAATAGGTATGTACTTTCAATTCCATGTCTATTAAATTTTTAAACTTTGCTCATGATTTGCCAGAAACATTTGAGTTCTTAGCTAAATTTAGAATATAGTGTTTAGTTTTTAAAATTTGGTTTGGATTTTGAGAACTTCAATAAAAGGAAGATAACAAAATAAGAAATTTCATAGATGTGAAATAGTTATTAAACATAAAATTTGGGAAGAGACTAAGACTCTTGACTGAGACTCTTGACTGTGTGCCTATTGAAGAATGAGTCGATGACTCATAGGCAATGGCTTGGTTAAGAGAACCCATTGGAGCTGTAGCGAAAGCAAGTCTTCATGGGGCAATTGTCACTGCATATGTGATCTATGCATGACCAGGATGAAACTTGGGTGAAACTAAGTGGAGGATGAGTTGTGGTTAGGGGTGAAATACCACTCTAGTGTCATTGGATTGAGGCCGTCCCTCTCATCATGGGAAATTCCTCTCTCATCACTTGCCTTATGTCCTCTATGATAACTCTCGAAATTGTGCAACTTAATGTCTCATTACCGTTAAAATNGAACCAATAAAAGCTTGCATTAAAAGGTCTATAATAGGTATGTACTTTCAATTCCATGTCTATTAAATTTTTAAACTTTGCTCATGATTTGCCAGAAACATTTGAGTTCTTAGCTAAATTTAGAATACAGTGTTTAGTTTTTAAAATTTGGTTTGGATTTTGAGAACTTCAATAAAAGGAAGATAACAAAATAAGAAATTTCATAGATGTGAAATAGTTATTAAACATAAAATTTGGGAAGAGACTAGGACTCTTGACTGTGTGCCTGTTGAAGAATGAGTCGATGACTCATAGACAATGGCTTGGTTAAGAGAACCCATTGGAGCTGTAGCGAAAGCAAGTCTTCATGGGGCAATTGTCACTGCATATGTGATCTATGCATGACCAGGATGAAACTTAGGTGAAACTAAGTGGAGGTTCAAACCTTGAAGAATTAGTGGATGAGTTGTGGTTAGGGGTGAAATGCCACTCTAGTGTCATTGGATTGAGGCCGTCCCTCTCATCATGGGAAATTCCTCTCTCATCACTTGCCTTATGTCCTCTATGATAACTCTCGAAATTGTGCAACTTAATGTCTCATTACCGTTAAAATGATGAACATATTTGAAACCCATTAAACACAAAATTGAAAATCATGATATTTATTAAATATGTTTAATTGTTTAAGAACCTATCAAACCGATGCTATTTTCAAACGATTGATATATGATTAAATTCAAATTTATTAATACTATAGATTTAAAAAATGATTAAAAAAAAAAAGCAGACTTTTAGAGAGAGATTGAGATGGATTCTCCCCTCAAATTCTTTCATGTAGCATTAAAAAAAAGGGGAGAAAGTTGGTTATAGTCACTTGCACACATAGTTGTTCATTACTTGCTTCCAAGCTAGCTCTAATTAATATTCCCACGCTTCGCTTCAAACCTTTCCTATTTTTTTTTTTATAAACAATTAAAAATAGGATGACAGGTGGCTTCATTTCAACCCTTGGATTGATGGCTTTGCAAATCATTTGCCTTTTTTGTAAGTTTCTCCTTTAACGTGCTGCACACAACCAATATATTTTAACATACCATATGATTCTTCACTTGTACCAAACTCTTGTAGAGCCATTGACTTTCTATTATGCATGCATCATGCTCTCTAACCAATCAAATCATGCCATGTAAGCTAATCTCTTTTTTCTTTAATATGCCTAATGATTGGACGGGTCATTTTTTTCTTCAATTTATAATGTCTTTTTTAACGACTAATTAGCATTGGTATAATGCTCCATGCCCAAAATTTGAAATCTGGGTTCGACACTTAAAATAACCCAGATATTCTCTTGTATCCACTATAGCACTGCCACGTTACCTACACTGGTATTCCTAGGAGGACATTCAACGAAGATTTGTTACTTACTTTTGAGATTCCTTTATCGGTTCTTTTAAGATTTTCTGAACCATAAACCTCTGGATTATTTTCAGTCGGATATGATTCTGATTCATTCATGTACTGCTCTTTTACTCGTGTGTCACAATTAATTAGTAGAAATACAATATTATTTTTTATATCTCGACAGTTTTGCTATAATTTTTACCGATTGAACTAAGAATTAGTCTTTTCTTTAGACGAGTATTAGTTGATGAGTATTAAGTCAACTTTAAGGGATTTTGAAATGCCACAAAACTTTGGCACGATTATATAAAATATGGGTCGCTTTCGTTTTGGGTAGATATGCCATATATTTCTTAATCAAATAGCTTCTTCATCAATGCCATCATCATCTCATGTAACAAACCTAAGTAGCCCTCCCCACCAATCTTAAAACCCTTTCTTTTAGTCCTTTCTCTGCTTTAACCTTAATTGGTTCAATGTCACTCTTAGCTTCACAGTTTTAAAACAGGTCTATTAAAAAGAGATTTTTACATTCTTATAAGGACTAATCCTGCATCTTGACTATAATACTATTTGTAACAGTTCAAGTCCACTACCACAGAAATTGTCTGTTTTGGTTGTTGTCAGCTTCTAGTTTTAAAATGCAATACTAAGGAGAGGTTTTCACACTCCTATAAGAACGGTTAAGTGTGATCCCATTGATGTGGGATCTCACAAGGGTCTATTAGTCAGTCAGAGCCAGTCATCAGACGGTACGAGACACTGGTCGAAGTAGGGTTATATAGTAGACCTGTTTTAGCATCCGTTAGGGAGAAAATAAATAATAATAATAATAAAAAAGAGTAAATAATAGAATAATGAAGCATGCTTGTGTTTTTGGCAATGACCTATGAAACTTGTTCACAAATATATTTAATTTAAATAAAGAAAGGCAAAATAATTATGAGCATAATTCAGTAATTGCCTAAAGATACTCACTTATCCACATCTTGATTTGGTTCTATTTTATATTTCTCCAATGAAGACCTTCTGTTAAGGTAACTATTTAATTCATTTCTTTATATGAAATGATTATTTCTAAGAAAAATTCTATCAAATCCAAACCCTTAATTAATAGGGTAATTAATTTCATTAAATTTACCCTCCATTCTTAATTATTATTATTATTGGATTTAAAATATTATTAGTTCTAAAAAAATATTCCGCTTTTAAGTATTAGTGTTTAAGTTATTGATTGAGAAAATATATTTTATGTCAGTTGAGTTATGTTCATATTGATTAATCTAGTAGTGATAAAACATCAATAATTTTTTTTTAAATTGTTTGTTCGATTTTAAGACGAAGATTTTTAGATCTTCGTCTTAAAAAATTTTAAAATTTGAGTTATAATATACATAGCAAATTTAAACCGATAACACGAAAGATTTTCAGTCTTCTGTGGCCATTTCAGTAACATGAAGATTTTCAGTCCTCTATTCTACCAACTTAGCTATACCGTCAATTTCTGACACATTATCTTTATTTATTTTCATAGAAAATTTGAACCTATAACACGAAGAATTTCATGCTTTGCCAATGGTGACCCAAAAAACTTGATTAACTCAATACCGTTTAAATTGGGTTAATTCAAATAAATAAAAAGGATAAATAAAAATTAATGGAGTGAATTTGGTAAATGAGTTTGTCTAAAACCAAATTGAATGTATTATTATTATTATTATTATTATTTTTCTCTCAACACAATTATACCTATATAAATAAATGTTTTATGAACTAACATTTAATTTTGAATAAATAATCAGACCAATCCCAACTAACTCAAACATAGTTTTGGTTCAAAAAATTTCCAACCTGAAACACTTGAATTTGATCTAAAAATGTCCACACCGGACCCAACTCAAATCAGATAAAAATAGAAACTTTATGAAAAAAAAACATTATGAACACTTGAATTGGTCTAAAAATGTCTAAAACGCGACAGAACTCAAATCAGGAACCGATAAAAATAGAAACCTTATAGAAGAAAAAAACATTATGAACACTTGGAATTCGGTCTAAAAATGTTTGAACCCGACCCAACTCAAACATGAACGATAAAAATAGAAGGAAAAAAAAAAAGACATGATGAAACTCCCAATTTAAGGGAAATGGCATGTGAAAACACAGTTGTTATTGTAGGCAAAGCAAAAATGGTAGCTTTAAAAACGAGTGGCCATGGAAGGGTTCAAAATATTTAATAAGAGGAATAAGAAGAAGAAGAAGAAGAAGAAGAAGGAAGTGGTGGTGGGTGCACCGCAGATTCCGTGGGTACAGCCTTGCACTCCAATCATCTCATTCACAATCCTTCACCAAAAGTAATGCCCTTTTGCTTCCTCCCTCCTCTTCTCTCTCTCTCTCCCTCTAAACAATACTATATTCTCGGGTTTCCTTCATCAAAGTTATTTCGTTTTCGTACCCGAGCTTTGAAAATGTTCGTTCTTAGCTCGCCAACTTGAGTACTGGGTGCTCGACACACTAAAATGTATATATGTATTTTCGACTAAAAGGCTGGATATTCGAATTCTATTTTCTCGGTTGAACTAATAATTACGATATTTAGTGTCTCGAATTTTATAACATCAGGGTTATTGTTACGACCAAAACCCACTGCTAATAGATATTATCCGTTTCAACTTGTTATGCATCATCGCTAATCTCACAGTTTCAAAATACGTTTACTAGAGGAGGTTTCCACACTCTTACAAGACATGGTTTGTTCCCCTTTCTAACTAATGTAACAATCCACATCCCTGAACCATTGTAAGGCCCTACATGGGTTGAAGAGTAGAACTAATCATTTTTAAGAGTGAAAATCTCTCCCTAACAAACCCATTTTAAAACTTGGAAGCTGACAGTTATACGTAACTGGTCAAGCTGACAATATTTACTAGCGGTGGGTTTGGACCGTTACAATATATATACTCAAAACTATATATATTCATTAAATACAAAATTTAAAATAACCCAAACCTTTTAAAAATCTAAATCGAGGGTATTTTTGAAAAAATTAACAATTTAAAAGTATTAATAAAAATTTAAAACAAAGTATTAACATTTTTTATTCAAAATTATATTTTTTAAAATTTTAAGTTATTAAAACTTTTCGGGTACGAGACAATACAAAATTTATGAATATTTTTATTAATTTAATCTGGAATAAATAAAAACGATCTTATTAAAATATTAAAATTATTTAAAATAAACATAATAATAAGAAGGTATCACCAATAGATATGGTCAGCTTTAGTCGGTTACATATAGCCATCAACTTTACAATTTTAAAAGATTAAAAAAAAAAAAAAAAAAAAAAAAAAAAAAAAAAAAAAAAAAAAAAAAAAAAAAAAAGTCCGTTCTACTCTCTAACAAAAGGAACGCGATGTTTTGTGGAAAAGGCGAGAAGAGAACAAAACAATGAAAAAACTCCATTGTTTTAGGACTCCAAATCTCTCCTTCTCTCTCTGTCTCTGTCTCTCTGTTTCTGTCTCTGTCTCTCTGTTTGTCTCTCTCTCCTCAAAATCCACCATTTAAGCCGATTCTTTCTTAGCCATGAATTTAGCTTTGCTTTTCCCCAACAAGCTACTGAGCTTCAAAATTACCTTAATTTAGACATGCCCTCAAATTTCCATGGCCCCTTCCTTTCAACCCTCCTCTTAGATTTGTACTTCCCCTTGGTTCTTAAACAAAACTAACAAACAAACCTCCCCTTCCTTCCTCCATCAATCTCCTGCTACTCTGCCTCCCTAAATTTGCCCTCTTTCTGTTAAACTCTTCCCTATATGTGTATATATATATATATATATCTATATATGTACAGCAAAGCTTCTTAGCCTTCAAAAACATTCATACTTCACTGTTTCATTGAGATCCAATCCTTTCTTTCTTTGTCTATATATATATATATATATATATATATTGTGTGTGTATATATATATATACTCTGTTCTTCTGTTGCTTCCTTCCCTTTCCTTTCTTCTCGAGTTCGTCTTCTTTTTCGAAAATTTTCTAAAGAAGGAAGGAAGGAAGGAAGGAAGAATGGAGGTTGATCATGAAGATGGAGTTATGGGGTCCAAAGAACAGGCTTTGATAGCCAAAGGTAAGAGAACAAAGCGCCCAAGGCTTCATTCTCCTACCCCTTTTACCATTTCTTCAAATGGGGAAGCAGGATTTGTTGTTCTTGAAAATGATCATGATCATGATTCTAATGTTGTAGCAGAAAACAATGATTTTGTAGCAGAAAACAAAGATTATGTTGCGGTTCCGGTTCATAATGTTAGTTTTTCTCCTTCGTCATCGTCGGCTGAATTGCAGCCGTATATCGCGACAGACGAAGAGGAAGACATGGCGAATTGTCTCATTCTCCTTGCTCAAGGGAGACCCCAGACACCGAAACATGTCGACAACAACCGGAGTACGGCCGGAGCCGAAAAGGGTGTGGGGATTGGATGCTATGGGTATGAGTGCAAGACATGTTATAGGACATTCCCTTCATTTCAAGCATTGGGAGGACATAGAGCTAGCCATAAGAAGTCTAAGGCTATTGAAGCTGAAAAGAAGGTCTTGTTGTGTTCAGATGATGAAGAGATACAATTTAAGAACAATATGACACATTCAATTTCTCTGCAATTGAATCAGAAAGGAAGTTTGTGTAGCAATGGTAAGGGTAAAGTTCATGAGTGTGCTATTTGTGGAGCTGAATTTACTTCTGGGCAGGCTTTGGGTGGCCATATGAGACGCCACCGTGCCATGCCGGTTGCGATGAACACGGCGTTGTCTCTGACTCCAATGGCCATGGAAG